CTCTGGGGGGAAGAATATTCCAAAGGGCGGGGGGGGGGTTCAATATACATTTCAATTATACACTTGAAATGTAAAGCTTCAAAAAATAATAAATTATGCTGTCTTTTTTTAAATCTAAAATATTACACGGGATAGGAATTTTCATTATCAAAACTTCTTCTCAATCACTTTTGTGTAAGGACAATTATCCTAAAGTGATTATAAGTGTTTAAACCCATAGAATACCAAACTAATTCTTCTCTTTCTTTTTTGCTTTCTTTTAGCAGAAGCCTCAATTACTGTCTATTGTTTGGTCAGCCATGGGCCAGATCCTGAAGACTCAAGTAAAAATGACTAACTGCCTTCAAAATAAATTTGCTCATATTATACAGAGAACCTATGGAGATACCCATTAGATTATGCAGATACGATTAGCACTTTGTATTAGCTTCTCTCCCTACCCAATTTTGTAATGTAATCTCTTCCCATGTCCATCCTACTGGAATGAAATTTGCTAAGTTTTAGCAGTATACATAGGAATCTGGAAGTAATGGCAAAATGATTACCCATGTGCCACAATGTCATTGTGGAAATGATGTGATTTTCTTACTTGTATCAGTCTTCAAAATGTGACTGATCCAGATTACATAATCTTATTATTTGTGTGATGATTGAGGCTTGAAGAGATGCCATACACTGTATGCACTCTATCTATCTATCTATCTATCTATCTATCTATCTATCTATCTATCTATCTATCTATCTATCTCATAGAATTAAACACACCAGTGGTCTAAATTTACTCACACTGTGTTAAACTAAACCAAACATTTTTCCAATGAAAGATAGGCAGTTCTTGATTGTAATTTTGTAACAGTCTCTTGATTTCTCAAGTTGCTGGCATGTTAATACTTCATTTCCTGGCAACTCAGTTCCAAGGCATAATGCTGAAGTTATTGAAATTTGAATCCTAGCCCTCATTTAGGTTGATAAGAACTCATAATTATTATGCAACTCACCATCAATCAGCTTCCAAGCAGTAAGTCAACATTTTTTCTCTTCAAGTTGCCGCATAAATGATAAGTCCATCATTACAGAGCTAAATTAAATACTGTACATCATGAAGATTACAGTAGCACTTTAGTCAATTGCAGCCTTAGGCAGAATTGTTCTGATAATCTCTAAAGTTATGGCAAAGAGACAAATAATTCTTCAACTGCAATTATGCACTCCAGAGGACTTTGGTCTTTTGTGTGTAGTAAATAGCAGATTTTTTCGCCATATGCCACAACCCTAAAAACTGGAAGGAGTTTCATAAGCAATTCATTATATGGCATAAACATGAGAAAAATCAGAAAGGTAACCAGGTATTTCCACCCTCTTGGACTACAACTGTTTTTTGTCTCCTGGCATTTTTGATCCAAATTAGTACTAATCATTATTACTGTTGGTCACACAGTCAGCCAGATGTTTAGATGGGATTTGGCATTTTTATCCACCTATTGAGTCCTTCACAAGGACCTGGGATAGGCAGATGTTGTTTGATGGTGTTAGAGGTATCATCGCAGATTATAATTATTATTATGGTTGGTTGCACAGTCAGCCAGATGTTTCTGGATTTGGCATTATTATTATTATTATTATTATTATTATTATTATTATTATTATTATTATTATTTTATCCCACCCCTTTTATATATAACTCAAGGTGGCGAACATGCCTAATCCTCTTGCCTCCTATTTTCCCCACAACAACAACCCTATGAGGTGGGTTGGGCTGAGAGACAGTGACTGGCTCAAGTCACCCAGCTGGTTTCCATGCCTAAGGCAGGACTAGAATTCACAGTCTCCTGCTTTCTAGGCCAGCACCATAGCCACTTCACCTATACTACTTTTGTATATAGTAAGATGTTTTAAAAAGTGGGGGGCAGTTGACCATCTCCATGAAATGTTCATCAGATACAAATCTTGCTAAAAGGCAAATGATGAGAACTGGCTGAAGAAGACTTTGGTCCAGGTTGGAAAATATCAACTCTTAGCATGTAAAACAAACATTGTAAAAAACTCTTGTGATAGCATTTTGATGGATGAAAACTGTAAATAGCAATTAAGCAATCTGTTTTTCCCTCACAATTCAGTTTTTTGAAGTATAATCTTTTAAATCTTTATCTGAAAAACATATTTTAAAGTTCATTTGAAAATAAATATGTGAATCTTTTTTCCCTTAAATTGGGAAAATACTACTGCAAATAAACTATTTTATTTAGTTAAATTTAGTTAGGACTCCTGGACAATTTGTTTCATATCTGTTCCAGCCCTTTTATGATAAATTATGTAGTAATAATAGCAGGCAAACTGATAATGTGCTACTGCTCCTTCTATAAAAGTTATATATAAAAACACAACTACTCCAAGTTGTAGAAATAGGAAAATATTCTTATTGTTAGCCGCCCAACAGAATGAGCATTAAGACCAAAAGACTGAGTGCTGTTAATAAGTAATAAATATTGGCTTGGAATTAAAACTTACCTTCTTCCAATTGAAATATTCATTTTCATGAAAGAAATAATTTGTGCACAATGGTTATTAAATAGAATAATAATAATTTTGGATTTTGCTTGTCTTTCCTTGTTTTATAGTTCTGAATGTTAGAAAAAATAAATACATGCCTGCATCAGATCAGCTAAATACTTAAAGGATATATAGAAGTAAAATATTTTCTATTTCAGTGTGAATGTATGATGACAATCTTTCACATGTTTAATAAAGGCCTGATCTAATTTTGGAAAGTACATCTTAAAAGCCAGACAGAAAACCTGATATTGTTAATATGGTACCATTTCAGGTACAGGACATGTAATTTATGGTAAACTGAAACTATCCTTCTTTTGTTCATTCTTGTGGTGAGAAACAGCTGAGAGGTTTCTGTTTCAGAAAATCCTTGTCCATCCGGTTCTTTTACTTTCTTGTAAAGCCAAATGACAGAAGAGGTTGAAATCTATGTCTCAGGTTTCCAGAGCCACCCAAGACAGAGAGCTGTTAATAATCTACTATAGTACATTATAAGTCTTCCTGTTGCAGTGTGTGATGTGTTGGACCATCATTTACTCAACATTTCATTTCCCAACCTGAATAATAGCTTTAGTTAGAGGCAAAGGTGTCTGTGGGGAGGAGGTGAAAAAAGAAGGGTGGTGGCCACAGTCACATGATTGAAGTCCCACCCCTTGTTTGCATGTGTCACAAAACACATAAAAAAGGGACAGGGCTTCTGTCGCATGGCTGTAGCTGCCATTTTGACTTTTTAAAAGCCCTCCCTGCAGACAACCCTGTTTAAAGACCACTGGATATTTCTTTTGCTTTGCTTTTGTGGCAGCAGTCATTGTATGATTGATGGTTGTGCTTTCATGGGATACTGACATTTCAGCAATTTGTACAATGTGGTGTTGCTTTGTGATTCAGTGCCAAATTCAATGAAAATTCAAAATAGACCTTAATCAATGAACTTAAATAGTACCAACAGAAGCGAATATGTGTAACCAATAGAAGCGAATGTGTATATGTGTAGCTCAGAGTTGACACATCAAGATAAACATCTACACACTATTCAAGAGAGACAATAGAAAGGAAAACAAAAGACCAGAACATCTCCTCACCAGCAATCATCACCCAGAGAAGCCGAGATTAACACCAGGATTATCACAGACATAAAATCAGCAATAAACAATACCCTAATCAAGGAACTACCCGAGGGAAAAAAGAACAAAACAAAACCCCCACCCCCACCAACACTGGCAGGGCATGCCACTGTATATAAAAGAGAGCAAACCCCATTCCATTCTAGCACTGAAGATGTTATCTAGCCGGGTAATGAAACGTTTGCAAGAAAACAGCCAAGCTGAGAGAACCCCAAGGACTCCACAGAACTTAAATAGTGTATATATGGATGGATATGTGTGTGTGAATAACTATATCCCTCCTTCCCAAAATAAGATTCAGAGAATGATGGATTTAATGTGTAAAGCTGTAGAAAAAAAAATGAAGGTCAAGTTTTAAAAACGTCTTAGTGTTTTTTCTAATAATTAGTGTTTTTCTAATAATTTCTTTATTTGCAATAACAAAATCATTATTTTTATATATTATATATTTCTAATAAAAAAGAAAACAATTGTCTGGAGAAATGATCAAGAACAATATTCCCAAGTTATTGGTGTGATGTTTGTTATGGCACTGAAGACTCAAGCTAAGACACAGACCTGTATGGATGCCTTTACGGTATGGGCGTGTTCTTTGGGATGGCACTTTTCTATTTTCTTATTCATTGCTGTATCTATACATCTATACAGGTTATTTCTGGCATCATGGCCCCGCCTTGCTTTCACAAAGACAAAATAGTTCAGAGAAATGTGCTCAAAAAACAGTCCAAAACTCAAGCACAATTGTTCACACTGTATAAAACGCAGATTAACCTGTCAGGAAACAAGGCATAGTCAGGGACAGGAATCACAATGCAGAACTATGGTTGTCCTAGGAGCCAGACTTCAACAGGCAGGGAGCCAAATTACAAGTAACAAATCATGTTTTAGTACTGGACTGCCGGAATCTCACTAGACCTCAGCTATGAGACTTTGGAAGTTACACCTGAGGAGCTAAAGCTCTAAAATCTAGCATCTCTCTTTGCATTACCCCTTGATGACCAGATAAGGCATCTGCATTCACAAGGGCTTAGTGCAGCCTCATAATCTCTTCTGGATATCAGCTTGGCTGGAACTTGTATATGTAGACCTAATGCCTCTTCCTATAAAAAGTCTGAGCAGTTGACTTCCTGAAATTCAGTTATGTCTAGAGAGGGCAACTAGACCATGGGACCATAACCCAATCAGCTAGATGTTATTTAGGTTCCTGATTTCTGGTTTTCATTCAGATCCTCATGTATTAGCAAAACAAGAGCAACAAGAAGTTTTGGTTTAAATAGAGTTGGAATTGCAATACAAGTTTCATCTGATGTAACATCATCCCAGTTCACAAATCAAGGGCCCTTCCCTTCTGCAGAATAAGACTTTGGAGTCTTGTCCTGCCTTGAGTCCATACTCAAGTGAATATCATGTGGGTTGACTCTGTATTCTGGTATCCACATTTTTTCTATGAAATTGGCAAATATTACTCCAAAAAGTTGTGTTTTCTTTCTCCCATTGTTCTTTAATATTCCCTATTGCCATTACAAAACCATTGCTAGCACAATAAAATTGTGCAGGCTACTAATCATATCTCCTACCTACAAGTGTCTGCAGATTATATGCACAATAGCTATACTACTGTGTGCATTTGGGAGGTTGATATTCCTTTAAGAATCTCAACAAGTGGATGGATGTTCAGGGCTGGAGCTAAGAGGAGGTCTTTAAACACTTTCAGTTCTTAAGAAATTCAGTATTGCACCAGCTGTACTCAGGAACAAAGAGCTAACAAAGAAAGAAGTGTCTCAAGATTTTTAAAAAACATAATAGGAAAATTGAAAAAAGGAGGATTTGGATCAGTAACTTATTCTGCTCAGCTAAACCTGGACAGTAAGTAATGCTTCTTTACTATTCCATAGATGAAATTATATTGTTGCGTGCAATATGGTCCTGCAAAACCAACATCAAAATCCCAAATTAAACAAAACAGATTTTTTAAAATTACTTCCAAGCAGTAGAGTTTAGAGCCCAGACTCAATGAATTTCTAGACAGGATCAGCCTGTACACATACTAAAATATTTAAGATTGTTCCAGAGCAATTTGCTGTAATTATTTTGAGCAGTTTGTATATAATCATTCTGCATCAGACAACTTTATGAAGGAGTAGCAACTCAGTTATCAGTTGTAGAGGACTTTTGATGCAAGTATTTGCATACATTTCAACTATGTTTCCTTGAGGTAAGCCTACAACCTTTAATGTAAGTCACTTCTAGTAGCTCCACTTAGGAATTCAGCCTAAGTGAATAAAGAACCTGTGTTTAAACAATCGTTCCCTTATGAGGCTGATAGATATTTTTTAATAAAATCTTGACATATCTAGTATTTATTACTCTGTCACAAATGTGAAACCTGGTGTCTAGGGAGGCCAAAAACATCACTCACCCATTTGCTTGATGACTTGCAAGGGGGAGGCTGAAGGGGTCCCTACTATAGCCATAACACAGGGATCAACTAGTAACTTTCCAAATATTTATTGGACTGTAGTTCCTGTTATATTTTACTTTGATGCTATTCACTAGGTCTGGGGATTGCTGGAGATCAATGTATCTGGAGAGCCATAAATCAACACCTAGGTACACATTCTACAGCCCAGGTCAGCATGTGGCTTAGAAGGGGTTTGGGTATAGCCCCCAACATTTTTGCAGACTCTAGATATATATGAGAGATTATTTTGTTTTACTCACATTTCTTAATGTAGATTAAAGTTAAGTATAAATTGTGATGCAATGGGATCTAGATCACAAATGTGGGTTAGAATCAACTCAATATTTTAATTAGTTTTTGTCCTGCCCCCTCTTTTTGTAAAAAAGTAGCCAGGCACTCTTAGAGTAAGGTCCCCAATATGCCATTCAAAAACTGCAGTGACTTTCAGCCGCAAGCTTGCATATCTTGCATAAACTCATTTATGTAGTAATCTATTACTTGGAAAGAAGGAAGAAGTACAGCACTGCCTAGGCTGAAAAACCATGCCTAAAGATTTGTTGGAAACACTTTGGAATTTCTCAGAAGGAATTTTTCTCAGGCTGGAATTTCCAAATCCCATTCAATTTTCAATATAAGTGGAATGCAACAGAATTCTATAGTTGCATGAAATTTAACAAGTTCTACACATTTTTAACATTTTTGTTGAACTTCCTACAGTATTGTGCCAGAATTAGAATCTACAAATAGAATACAAAAAATTGCTGAAGTTTCCACCAAAGATACTAATATATATTAATTTTGTGGGTAATGTTTACATACCCACAAACACAATCTAGGAAAGGTGCAATTTTATAGGGCAATTTTATCAGAGACTAATTACCTCTAGGGAGTATCTTAAGGATTTACTGAAACAATTCAAATGAGATTCATCAAGTCCAGTATTCAATTCAACCTCCCACAGGTTTTCTTTTTTTAAACTTCCAAAAGAATCAACTATGCTTGGTATAAGAGTTTATATAATTCTCAGATTCCCTTATTATATTAAATATTAAATTTAATATAATTAATTCTCCAAATATTGTTAAAAACTTTGATTTGTATAACCTATATATTTTACAAAGGAATGGTTGAATTGGCAGATTTCTTTTAAAAAGCTATCAGGAAAAATTGAGAATCAAATTCAGCTGCTACCATTGTCTACTAATTGTAGCTAAAGTGGCCAGTCCTAGAATTCCAAGAGCCATTATTAAAGTTCAAGAATTTGGAAGAAAAAAGCAAGGTATTTTCTGCAAAGATCAAAACTTACTCCTAAAGTTTCAATTATCCTCTTTTACATCTTAGTTGTGAGTGTGACTGGAAACTGATTGGAGGCAACCAATGACTTAATACTTGGCAGTGAATTAATTTTGAAAAAATGCAGTTACCCATTGCAATGTATATCAACTCAGAAGACACAAATAAATGAAGGTGTTTGAAAGACAGGTTAAGGAATCTTTCTGATTTATATTCAATATTTCTTTTATCTCTTTCATTAGTTTTCTTTCTAGACCCTTACCAAGACCGTAAGAGAGCAAGAGGCTATATTTTTGCTTAGTCCTTTTATTTTTTAGAGAATTTTATGTTGTTGATTATATGGTAATAGAAAAGGGCAATATATAAATTGATTAAAATAATAAATAAATCATTCCTTTGCTTAAGAGTAGAAATGCAAACTTAGTTATTGTCACTTAATTAACAAATTCAGTAATTCAACTACAAAGGAACCATTCTTTCCACTCAGCTACAAAGCATATTGAATAATCGATCAGCTTATTCCATGGAACTATAATGGCTATGTTTTTAAACAGTATATGGTACATTGCAGACCCTAAGCAATTATTGAGAAATGCTGTTGGTTTTATTCCATATCGGAAAATGGCATGAGCTCATGCAAATTATGTGTTCGAATCATTGTATGATGACTCTAAACAGTGATTCTACTTTGTGACTCTAAAAAGCAACAATAAGGTATGATATATGGAACAAATTCTTTATCTGCAAAAACATGATGAGAATCACATCCTATAAACAAGCACATTTCATAAAATATATGCAGAGGACACAATGTAAATATTACTGTAGCAAGAAGCACTGCAATAAGTAGGAATATTATTTGCCTCCACACCACAAAGGATTGACTTCAAGTTATTTGCCTTAGGACAGAATCAGCAACCTATGGCTCATGAGGCACATTGCTCCATTCGTCTACAAGCACCAGGCTGAAATGTTATGGCAAAATGGCCAAGTTTCAACAGCGTCTCTTTTCTTCTCTTCTCTTCTCTTCTCTTCTCTTCTCTTCTCTTCTCTTCTCTTCTCTTCTCTTCTTTTTTTTTTTAATAG